ACCTACTCTCCCTCCCTCCCTACTGTATTTCTCTCTCTTTCTCTCTCCCTCTATTTACCTACCTATTCTCTCTCTCCCTCCCTCCCTACTGTATTTCTCTCTCTTTCTCTCTCCCTCTATTTACCTACCTATTCTCTCTCTCCCTCCCTCCCTACTGTATTTCTCTCTCTCTCTATTTCTCTCTCTATCCCTCTCCCTACCTACACTCGCTCTCTCTCCCTACCTACTGTATTTCTCTCTCTCTCTATTTCTCTCTCTATCCCTCTACCTACCTACACTCTCTCTCTCTCCCTACCTACTGTATTTCTCTATCTATCTCTATTTCTCTCCCCGTCTCTCTATCCCTTTATCTACCTACCTACCTATCTCTCTCACTACCTACGTACTGTATTTTTCTCTCTTTCTCTCCCTCTCTATTCCTCTATCTACCTACCTAATTATTTTTTTAATTTGCCTCTTCAAAACCTTGGTGCGTCTTATACTCCGGTGCGTCTTATACTCCGGTGCGTCTTATACTCCGAAAAATATGGTAACTGAAAACACTTAAGATATTATTTTAGTTCTGAAACTCAGATTAGATATTATAACAAAGGCCATCTTGCTGCCATAGGAAAGACATGGTATACTCAAATCTGGCATCTATCTATTCACATTTGTCTTCAATTCTCAGCATCTACCATCTAAAACATTTGTCTCACTTTAGAATACCTGTCTTGACAATCCCATAATTCTCAAATTTTAAGGGATTTTCCTTGGAAAATCATTTGGTTTTCTTATCCACCTTAAAAATATTATGTTGGAAATTTAAGGAAGAACTAGATTTTAACTACCTCTCTTTTCTTGGAACAGTGGTATCATTTGAAACTGAACATGTAGCCGCAAAAGGCTGGTGATGGGAAGGAACGGATTCTATGCCAGCCTGCAACAAGGATGGATTTGGAGTTCTTGAACTGTCAGATATCACAGTGGAGTGATTAACGTCTTCTATGTAACCTCGGGGTTCTGCAAAAATGAAGAAAATAATATTTTTGTTAAGATCCGTAAGCCTGCAATAGTAACAAATACTAGCAATGAATGTACTATGAAGATCCATACTGGAAGTTCACGCTCAGTTCCACACATTTATGATACTATTTATACAGAAACATAAACGTATAACTCACAAAGGCTCTTTATACAAAAGATTTTCTTTCTGAATAAAACAAAGATGTAAACAATACACCAATCAAAAAACTACCAGCTGAAGGCAAACAAGTTAACAGCCAACAACAGCAGAATCAAGGAACCACCCACTCCTACCAACACTGATATAGCAAACCATTAATATATAAAATGAGAGCAACCCTACTCCCTGCCAGCATGATGATGTTACCTAATTTGGTAATGGAATATTTGCAAGAAAACAACCAAGCTGAGAGCACCAAGTACCCACAATTTTTAACAATTCACACCTGCCTCTATAGACAGACATGCAAGTATCTGACCTCTATCAATATTTAAATCAAAGTTTTTAATTGGCACAGCCTAGTATAATCAGGAACTGAGATGTTAATCTTAATATATCTGAAAGCATCCAATACAATGTTCCAATTATTAAACCCTGGATGGGGGTTTCAGGGAGATTCTAACAAGTATATCTGACATAAATGTAATCAAACTTGTGTATTATATTTATTATTTATGTTATGGGTTAATATATTTATAAGATTATAGGAAATATAATAAACTAAAAAATATTACTACATTGTAAATATATTAAACTATATGTGATTTTGCTAGGTTACTTCAGTTTGCTAATCAGCTAAAAACAGAGAGGATTTGATTTAAATCACGATTTAAATCCCTAGTAAAAAGGCTTGATTTAAATCAACTCAATTTAAATCATATTTTTTAAAGAGTAACTGTCATCTCTGTCCCGCAACGGCTCCTCTTCTGACCTGCTTGTTGACACAAAGACAGTCCTAATATTGAACAACATATAGCCTCCTGCTACCTAAATAAGTTCCATTTCATGCTGAATAAACTAAATTATTAATGTATCTTAAATAGAAAATTATCTTTAGATAGATTTTTTACTCCAGAAGCATTTTATTAAAATAAATTTGATAAAGTCAAAAAAATCTGATTGAATTTTTTTAAAAATCCAATTTAAATTTAAAAACAAATATTTTTAAAAATTATTTTTAAAAATATTATCAGTTTTTATCCACCCTGGCTAAAAACGATATGGCAAAAGCCAAATCAAGAAAACTTGGAAGGTGAGGAGGAGCCAATGCCCCGCCGAAACAACGTGCAATCTCAATGCTCTGAGATTGTCATCGATACTTTTGCTGTTGGGTGATCCAAACGGACCTAAACCATCCCGCAGAGACAGTGAACAGGAAGAATGCACAAAGTCCCTGATCGATCCAAGAAAAGTTCTTCAAGCCGGTGACAAAAAATCCAGCCATTAGGCTGATGAAGTCGGGGTGGCTCCAAAACGGAAGGATACGGAAAGAGAAAGTGTTTCCAGGTGGTGAGGAATTTTTACCATTTTAAAAACTTATAAAAAACTATAAAATTAAGTTCAATTGGAGAACAGAAGAAATAAGTGGCAGAATTAAGTTTGGAATGGTTTTGGGCAGAGGGTTATCTTACTTTTTAAATGCTATTTTCATGGATGGAATTTATGCAAGCCTTTTAAAACGAATGGATTAAGTCTTCTATTTTTTTCTTTTGTTATTCTTTGTAACCTAAGGACTAAAATTCTCCTCTTTCATTACTGTGGGTGTTCTTCTAACTCATTCAAGAATCGAACTTTTTTTAAAAAGAAAAAGAAACAAAGAAAATTGCAACTATAACACTGCTACTCAGAGGCTGGAGGTTTGTGTATTGGAAATGAAACACTCTTACTTTTCTCACTGATAATCCTGGCTTGGCACTCCAAGGTCTTGCTGCTTGTTTATAGAGAGTGATAAGAAAAAAAGCATAGTGATATCCCTTTGAAGTATATCTTTAACCAGAGAAAAGTGAAAATAAAACGTTATTGTGAATCTATGCTTAATTTTGTTAAAACCTTCCAAGCTAGAGCAGCAGTGTTTGTTATGTGGCGATAATGGCACAATTTCAACAGCAGAAAGAAACTTTAAGTCTGCAAAAGATATTCTCAGAAATACAGAAATTATCAAACACATATGAGAGGACAGAGAAGAAGCTGGAAGACTTAGAGCATCTAACAGTAAAATATGATGAAAAAAAGTTGAGGATGTTTATCAAGGGGAAAAAATGGTAGTTAAAATCCTAAAAATTAAAGAGGAAAATAAATATAAAGAAATTAAATTTGTTGATATTTATGGTGATTGGTTTGTCTCTAAAAATGGAAAGAGTGGAATACTGAAAGAGGAATTAAATGGAGGGGAAATTCATTCCAGATGATACAGAAGAAGAAAAAAACCAAAGAATCTATGGATTTAAAGAGAGAAATTTTATCAGCAATAGCATTGATAACACTACTGACAATCAAAGATAAGCTGACTAAGGAAAAAGAAGAAGGGCATCAAGGTTACATGAGAGATCTTATAAGCAAGGAGTTGCTAAGAGGAGTCCATATGAAGTTGATCAAGGAGATGATTAAAGGACTGACGCCACAAATGGCAGAAGATATGAGATTGTTTTGCTATTTGAAAGACACAGGTTGATAGATGAAAGAGTATAATTTAAAACTAGTTAAACT